CTACGTTGGACCAGAAACATTGAGACATGTTTGAAAAATATGCCATTTCTAAAAGCATATCTGGCCAGGTTTCTAGAAGCACATGCTTTTAAAAGCATATCTGGCCATGCCTGTGATTCAAGCACTAGGGAGGGTAAGGAAGAATAAGGGCTGTGAGTTCAAGGTTAGCCTGGGTGACAAAGTAAATTCAAGGCAGCTTGGGCTGCATAGTGAAACCCTGTCTCAAAAAAGACAAAAGAAAAAAAGAACATATATCTGACATAAAATAGGCAAAACATAGGAATCACAGTGATTACATCAAGCAAATTAGAATTTCAAGTACAGGGCTGGGGAGATAGCTGAGCAGTCTAAGCACTTGCCTGGCAAGTGCAAGGACCTGAGTTTGATCCCTGGTACCAGTATGGGATGGTATGTGGGCCCAAGAACCCTGGGCATGCTGTGCCGGCCCCATGGCACACGCCTGTAATCCCAGTGCTGGGGAGGCTGACACTGGAGGATCACTACAAGTCTAGCTGCATAGTAAGACCCAGTATCAAAAAAATAAATAAATAAGAATGTCAAGTACAAACAGAATATAAAGGGTCACTTTACCTTGATTAAAGTTAAAACTCACAGAGGAAAATGTAATTGTCGTAAATTCTAATAAACTAACATTGACATATAAAATCCAAAACTATTACGAGGAGAAATGGACAAAATTGTGGCTATAGTTATAGAGAATCATTTCGTATACTTCTCAGGGTATTACAGTGCACCTGGGAAGAATTACTGTCATTGATTAATGGAGAAAATTCATTGAATTTATTTCCCATATGTAGGGTGACTTTTTTATTTCATAATTTTAATAATATAAATTATTTTTAAATATCTATCAGAAATTAAAACTACAGATGACATACATACAACATAAAGTCAATCATCTGTGAAAAATAAAATTGACAGCCACTTTCATGCTGAAAAGCTTTCTCTTAAATGATAAAGATGGAATCAAAAGTCAAGAGTAAAATTTTACAAAAGTAATAGTTGCAGTGCTATAACTTAAATACTTGAGGCACGTGGTCAAAGCTGTACTCAGAGGGAGAATGTACATTTCTAAATATTTCATTATAATTAATCAAGAAATAATGAAATTATTTTAACCAGGCTGTCAACTGAAGGAATTCCCAAAAGAGTCCTGTCTCTTTCCATTATGCTCCCTCTCCAAAATAAATAGGAAGGAGGAAAGCATGAGAATTAAACTGAAAAATAAATTTTTGAAATGGGAAAAGATAGTTAAAATATAATAATCAAATGCAGCAATAATAAACTAACAAAGATGACTAGGGTAAGGAAGAATCAGAAAGTGGAATAGGAGAGGGAATATAACTATAGATGAAGAAAAAATTATAAAACAATTTAGATTATATAGTGTTCCAAGTAGGTAATATGTTTTGAAGAAACAGGGACCTTTTATAAAAATTGATGATGCTAATATTAATTGGAATTTTAAATTTCTTACAGAAGCAACTGAAAGCTATATAAAGGTTGCTTTTAAAGAACCATTGCTCATAGGAAAGTCTAACCAAAGCAATGAAAAAAGATGAAATAGAGAGGGACAGAGAAAAGGAGGAGGCAAATAAAATAACTTGCAAATAATTGACTTGTTAGGTAGAGAACTACAAGAGAGCTAGTAGAAATACCTTTTTATTAAGACAGTACTTTTTAGAGGTCCTGGTTTTCAAATTATCAAAGATAAATAATTTCAAATGTCTATGTCAAGAAAGTTTGTTAGAAAATAACAATGAATTTGAGTAATGCCAAAAAGATTCTAACAAGAAATATATGCCATCTACCTGAAGAAACTTATGATTATACCAAGCAACTTAAAAATCTTTGACAAGTCCAATAGCATTTCTGGAATGATAAAAATCTATTTTCTAAGGCTTCACCTCTCCCCAGACTAATGCCCATTTTAATGAATATACTTATAAGATGGGGTGGGCTGATCGACTTTCATAAACATGTACAACATTTACACCCAGAGGATGTAACAGGAGTCAGTTGATGGACATAGAATTGCTTTATCAGAAATTTATATCATGTTATGAAAGTAACAATTAATACGACTGGTGTACATGCTAGAAGACATGGTGAGGTGACAGAAGAGAACAGAACATATAAATGTGGACCCAAATCTAGATAGGCAATTGTTATTGTATATTATAGACTATATTTTATTGCTTCCATTGTATGTATCCCAACAAAGAGATAAATTATTTCAATCAGTTATGAAAACTGGGCTATAAATAATTGCCAAATCTTAAGATGTGAGATCCCCAGGACTACAAAAAATAAAAATAAAATGTGAAAAAGTGTATGTTTTGAATATTGTTTTAATATATGTTTGTGGTAATTAATTGCTTATTGCTGAAATTTTTTTTATTTTTGGGTCATGTTATTAACAACTTTGTTTTTATATGCAAACGATTCAGATTTTTGTGTCTTAATAGTAGGGGTGACATTTCACATTACCAGTTTCAATTTTCATTATCATTTTAGTGAAGTAGCTGTGAAAACCTATCTATAAATGGACTCAAGCTTTTGGCTTTCTCAAATGAAGCACCTTAGTTATAAACCTGCATGGTTTTCTTAACATGGGCATTTTTGCTGGATATAATTAGATTTTCTGGAGGCTGTAGAAAGCTCAGTGGGATTATCACACATGCTACATAAGTGCAGCTGGTCATTACAGTTGCAAAGAAGGATTAGATTATTTGTCTATGTGTGCCCAGCACCCCTTTGCCTGACCTGAGCTCAGTTGTGAGTGAGTGCTTCTATAGGTCTAGTGAGTGGTACAGTGGAACACAAGACTCATTTCAGCCGCTGTGCTCTGAGCTGTAGTTACAGCAAGCTTTGGTATTTGTACACTTACTAACCGTTCCAATGATTTGAGAGCAGTTCCAGAGATAAAATTTAGTATTTATTTATATATTCACTCAGTGACTTTGAGCTGAGGCAAATTTGAACCACTGTGACAGGTACGTACTTGGGGCTGCCATAAGCCCAGCAGACAGCTTGATACCTACAGCCCAGCCCCACTTTGTTGGACTTGCTGCAATTCTTATGAATAAAAGAAAAATCTTACTTATAAAAGAAAGGCCATGGTGTGGAAGATAACTTTAATAAAAATTGAAAGGTAATTCCTTTCTGATGTGAGGGTAAGGGCAGGAAGCGGGTGACTCTCAAGAAAATACGATCTGGGGCCCGGCCCGCCTCCGTCCTGCGGAAAGTGCTCCCTATTTACCATGCGTATTCACAAAGGTTAGAGGGCTCCTGTGCTTCTACCGTAGATGGGATGCGTGTTTTCAGATAATGAATGCTCACTGCAGTTTTGTGTGCTGCTTTTACTTCCATGTCTAAATTCATTGTCTTGTTTGAAAGTTTCTTTGATAATAAGATAGCGTTAGAGAAATCGTCCCTACACCACCAGCCCAGATAAAACAGCCTGCAGAGGTCTGAAAGTAAACAAGTAAAATGGAACCAGAATGGGAAAGTCCAGATCGTTTATAGCATTAAAAATGAAGAAAGTGCACAGCCTTGGTGATAAAGGGAATCAATTTGTAACCTTCCATCCTCAGACTATGAAATTCTTTTGTGCTCCAGGAAAAATAGGGAATAATACGCTACAATCTTCATGGGAAAATAATTTGGGTCAGAGCTGCAGCACTGAATTTTTTTCATTAATTCAATTCATTTTTTTTTTTTTTTTCCGAAGTTTCTGCAACCTGCTAGGTGTTTGCTAGCTGAGGAAGTGCAACTGAAAAAAGCCCCACATAAGGGTATTTCTAAGCCTACAATAGTTATAGCCCTAAAGGAGATGCCTATCTACCATGGCGTACCACGTGGTTGTGGTAAGGGCACAGAACAGAGAAAGCAGAGGCCCCTCGCAGCTTCCCGGGAAGGCAGGTGGGGCTTAAGGGAGAGGCAGGCAGCAGGGCAGTGGGCAGCGGCACAGGCCTGTTGGAAGGCAGAGGCCACACTGTGGTCCAGTGAGATGCAGCCAGAGCACTGTGGGCAGCAGTCTGCACTGCATCCCCTCCGGGCTGGGCCTGGTGGAACTTGAAACCTGTGCTAGTGGCTTTGGGCAAATGACACAGCCTTTTTGAAAACCCCAGTTCCTCACTTTCGAAGTAAGGATGTTCACATCTACCTCCGGCGAGGAACCTGTGGTACAAGTTCCACATGTTCAGAAACAGAATGATAAACACTCTAATAGAACATTTTACAGAGTCTTTCCACATGGAAAGACCACTAAGCTCAGGATCGCAGGAAACAACTAGCTCGAAAGAAGAACTTATTATAACATTGACATAATCTTCCATTCTGATCCATCTGCATGCTTGATTTTCTAGAGGAGGCCAGGACTTGAAAGGTTATGACATTCTTTAAAGATTTTATTTGCTTTTGTATCTGAATAGTCATTTTTATCTGCATTTATTTGCAGTATCAAAAGTTGTCCACAAATGTGATTTATGTGAATGCCCAAGTGCATACTTGAAATTCAAGACAATTGCCTGTTTGCTGTGTTCTGTTTTGTATGTAATTGTGTTTTTTTGTTGTTGTTTTAATTTCTTGTTTCTCAGTAAGGAAAAGGAATCTTTGTGACCTAAAATTCTTATGTGCATCAAAATTGTTCTCCTGGCAAGTGTACAAAAATTCAATTAGTTTCCAAAGGACAAATTGTCTTTGGGGACTCAACTGATGTAAAAGCCTGGAAGAAAATATTACTCTAGGATTTTTTGTACATAGAGGATGTACATCCAGGACTGTGTGAAACACATTCTCATGTAAATTAGGTCAGTTTACTTTTTCAGTTTACTCTTGTAAAGAGGTCCGCTTGCTTATTTAGAAACGGCAGGCAGTTTAAAAGAAAAGTACAAGATAATCTTTGTGTGTTTTAAAGCCAACAAAAGCTGTGAAAATTCACAATAACGTTTGCTACATTTCTTGTCTTGCTACAGGGGTTTGCCAACTTGTTAATAAGATGGAGGAGAACTCTGGCAAGGTTAAGCCTTTCAACCGCAATGATGAACAGTTTCTCGAAGCTTTTGTGATCTTTTGTGGCTTGGGGATCCAGAACACACAGATGTATGAAGCGGTGGAGAGGGCCATGGCCAAGCAGATGGTCACTTTAGAGGTGGGCTGACGTTTCCGGGCTTCCCCCACCCCTTCTGCGGCCAGACACTCAGCTTTTACTTCCTGTCCTAGCAGCTCATGGTGTGGGTTGTTTCCAGCATTTGAGCTCCAACATGATTTCCATAAGGGAGATCTTTAACCTTATTTAAGGAGCTAAGGAAATAAAGATGCAGTATTTTAGGAGCTTGTCAAATGTACATGACAAGCCAAGATTCCTACTGCTTGTCCCTTGTCCTCTTCCTTGTTTGGAAAAAGTTATCCTGAACTTTTGTAATCCAGTCACACTGAAAAACCTACTACTACTGTGGCCTCTCCCTTCCCTGTACGGTCTGGGTCTCCTCATCTGTCCATGAAGACACATAAAAAACAATTTTGAGTGGGCCAGTGAGATAGCTCAGCTGACTGAGTGCCTACTTTGGCAAGTGCAGGTACCAGGGTTCAACCCATGGTCCTGCAGGTCATGCTGGCCCCACCCCCAGGGCATGCTGAGCTGGTGACCAAGTCCCGGCATGGTGCCACATGCCTGTAATCCCAGCGCTTTGGAGGCTGAAAACAGGAGGATCAGTACAAGTCCAAGGTGCATAGTGAGGCCCTGTGCCAAATACATGAAATGGAAAAAAAAACTTTTTGAAAAAACAAAACAGGGGCCGCGGAGATGGCTCAGTGGAATAAGTGCTTCCCTGGCAAGCACAAGGGCCTGAGTTCAATCCCTAGTTCTGCCAAAGAAGAAGAAGAACAAGAGGAAGAGGAAGAGGAAGAGGAAGAGGAAGAAGAAGAAGAAGAAGAAGAAGAAGAAGAAGAAGAAGAAGAAGAAGAAGAAGAAGAAGAAGAAGAAGAAAGAAGAAGAAGAAGAAGAAAGAAAGAAAGAAAGAAAGAAAAAGCAACAGCAAATAAAAAAGGGCTCTAGGCAAGCTTAGAGGATTACAGTGAGAAAAGGAAAAGAAAGAGAAAGCAGGAATGATTTCTTTCCCTAGCTACAGACTTGTGGAACCCTATTCTGAGCATTCTGATTTGGTAAGTCTTACAAGAGAGGTTGAGAATATTGTCTATCAAAATAGAACTTACAATGTTAATTTTTTTACATCTGATATTTAAACTACAACCACTTCTTTCGCTGAAAAAGAATGCCTCAAATATTATCCTATTACTTAGAGTCGAACACTTTTGAAAATGGAGGTGATGATCTCATGTTAAGTTAGAAGGCAGGAAGCCTGACTTCTACCCTCCCAAGGGCAACACTAAGGGGACAGGTTGGGAGCTGAAGGCTGGGGCCTGGAATTCCTTGTCACAGCTATTAGCAGGGTGTCAGACTGCAGCTGAGTCCAGAAAGTCCCAGGGCCTAGGTGCCCTGAACTGTAAGGGTGGCCGTGGGGGGCAGCGCTGCCCTCTGAGCTCTTGACTTGGAGGCGTGTGAAGGGATACTGCATCTGTGGCGTGGTAGCCCAGCCCTGAGGTCTTTCTGTAGGAATTCTCCCATGCTCACAGGCCTCATCTGAAAGCCATTTCTGAACCGCTTTTAGAGATCAATTTTAAAATGTCAGTTTATACAATAGTGTTTCCCCCTAACTGTGTACATGAAAATAAAGTCAGTATTAAAAAAAAAAAAATCTTTCAAAATAAATTGTAGTCAGGTGGGAGCGCACAGTTACCCCTAGGGGGCTTACAGTGAATACTGACTGACGTGTTTACTGTGCTAACAAGGCCAGGATCAGAGTCCTCAGAGATCTCTTTGAAAGTCCGGAGTCTAACTTTGTATTTTTGTAAAGCAAGACATGGAGTCTCAATCTGGGATTTTTACTTTGTTCACTCTGTTGAAAGCCATGAAAAGAGCGGACACCCTGAGGTGCCTCCTTCTCTCCCCAGAAAGGTTTAGCAGAGTTCCCGACTTGAAAGTCTAGTCCGCATCTGCTCATCCCCTCCTGCGTAACCCGGACTCCTCCTTGTCTTACCCTACAGGTTCTGTCATATCATGCTTCAGCAGCGGAGGAAGAAACGAGAGAGCTCCAGGCCTTGGCGGTAAATCTCTTCTTTCTTTTTATAATGTACTGAGTATAGCAATACTCACTTTGTACATTGATGTGCTTTCCCCAGGATTCCTGCTTCTACTACTTGCAGCCCGCTAGACACTTCATCAAATGTGGTAACTGTTTACATGGACATTCACAAAAATATTTAATCAACTCTTGTGAAGATACAAAGTTACTGCTAATACAAAACACCAAGTAATAACATATTGACTCTGTACTATATTCTATTATTCTGAGCTTTTTTTCTGGTAATTGTTTTTAATATTTACATCTTTCTAAGCCCAAAATTAAATTTAGTTTTCAGTTCCTGGGGAGGAGGGAATAATGACAACAAAGGCTTTGCAGATCATTACCAGTAACCAACTCTGTATTATAAGAGGTTGAGCATGATTTTAATTTCTGACCATATGGCTCATGGCATTCTATGTGAAGCTTGGTTCAAATAAGGACAGTTACTGAATTCTCATCCCATTGTCGTTTAGTATATGATGACAGAAAGGCACACTGATAGACAAGTAGGGTTCTTGGCCTTGGTTGAGATTGCTTCAGCTGGGGCACATGAAAGTTTGAGACATGTATGATGCCGTGGTGCTTTGATTTTAAACTTCCTTGAGGCAGTATAGGTAAGGGCTGTGCAAGGACTGGGAAGCATAAACATACTGAGATTTTTTTCACTGTAATCGTCATCACAGCTTGCCAAAGGCTAACCCGTTTGTGGCCGTCTACGCGTTCTCTCATGCACCTGCACAGCGAGGCTGTGAGGGCCTGCAGAGGCCTGGAGGAGCCGGATGCCTTGCACAGGGTGACTACACAGGCTTACGCCGTGCTGTGCTGAGGGACAGTCAAGAAGGGAATGTGGACAGAGGGCTTGGAGACATTCTCGGTTAAACTGGAGAGTAGGAAAATAATAAAGAGGGAAAAAATGAGTTACTCAACAAGAAAGGCAACGATCTTCAGGTGATTTTATGTGAAAGATTACACATCTGTTGGGGTTGGCTTCTTATACAGTTGGCTGGATTTATCATATGTGCTTACAGCAGTATCAGAAGCAATGCACGATTTTTCGATTGTTTACAAAGGCATTTAGCTTCGACCTATCGTTCACTTAGAATGAATTGGCCTGTTGGTCTGTTCCTTCTATGAGTGTCTAGTTTTCAAGTAAATGTGTCCTAAGAGTTGGAAATTATCCCTTGGAGAGGAAGATACACGTAGAAATGCTGCCAGAGCGCCACAGGGTCATTAAGTTACTGCTCAAATGCAGGCGAGGTTACATTCTGCCACATCAATATAAACTGGCAAATAGAGTGATTTCTAAGGATAATGCTTTAAAAAACACTTGCATTTTTAATTTCGTCTTTCGTTCTGAAAATAGTGGTGTATTCTTTCACAAAAATATGAAAATTATTTTTTCTATTATGTTTATAATTTTAGGAGCAGAAAAACACTCTGGGATAACCAAAAATTGCTGTATTGCTTATTGCTCAAAACCATCTGCTGTGGCACTGGGAAAGTAGATTTCAGGCAGCTGTATTGAGAAATTTAGGATCACATAGCTTGTGAGTCAAGTAATGTATGCAAATTGGCTGAAATTCAGCAGCTGATTTCAATTCTCATTTTCTGTCCACTGAATAAAAATTCCTTCACAGCCTCACCAGCACCAGGGTCTGCATCATCCTGCTATTACCAAAATTGCTCTGTAAAATGTCTGATCAAGTATCTCTATTTAAAACCTAAAATAAATTGAAAATCTGTCAAACATTTTCCCTTTATTTTTTAAAATTCATAAGAGAATTAAATAATGTACTGACATATACTTCTGCCTGCGTCCAGAAAAGTTCTCTAGCTACAAAAAAGTAATTACTTCCGCACCCTTACTTTTCTCCAGCATGACTTACATTTTTAATCTAAACTTTTCTTTACTTAAAAGTGAATATAAGGGCCAGCCAAATAGCTCAGTGGATTAAAACACCTGCAAGCAGGTGCAGGGGCCGGGGATTTGATCCCCGGGCCTGCTGTGCTGGCCCTGCCCCCGGGGCGCGCTGAGATGGCAATTGACATTGGGTGTGGTGGTGCTCACTTATAATCCCAGTTCTTGGGAGGCTGTAAACAGGCAGATTATTATGAGTCCGATCTAATAGTGAGACCCTAAACACCCTGTAGAACCATCCCTAAAATACAAAAATGAAAAAAAAAAGGTGAGTATAAAAGAAATAGGGGCTTAAACTGAGCATTTTTACCATGTACCTTTTAATGATTCTTAGACATAAGTTGTGGGGATAACAGAAAATAAAATAATAAAACCCAGCTGACTTGGTTATGATACTTAGAAAATTTGGATATCAAAGTATGACAAATATTTACTATCTAAACAATAGAAGTGAAAACATGCTTGAGTGACTGCGTATTCCACTTTCCACTCTTCTTAGCAGAGGAGTAAAGCAGTGCAGATCTGTGGAAGCACAGTGGCTCTCAGTGTAGCTACCAAGTCGACACTGACACGATTCAGTCCTTAAAGCTCTCCTGCAATGGCTCTGATCCTGGGTGATGTAATTAGAAGCACACAGGCACGTTTATGATCCTGAAGAGCTTCCTGTACCAAAAATAGCAAAGGGAAGAAGCTGAATACTTAAGGAGAATTTTCTAGGACAGGATCCATCTTGTCTTGACCTTACCCCGTCTTGGTCAGGCACATGTGCAATTGCTGCAGGCGGCAGTTATTAGAGATCACACAAGCCAGAGGCAGAGCCAGGACCGGACTCAAATCTCTGCTACACAAGTCAGTGTGAGCATACAGACCAGCTCCCTCACAGCTAGGTAGCCCCTTCCTTTTTAGCAAACCTGCATAAATAGCTAAATGATAAACTGAAAACATTTTGAACAGATGATTTACGAATTGACCCCATGTTCTTGGTGAGCAGTGTAACTGAACCATAGTAACCCGTGACATTCAGTAGGACTCCTGAAGCAGTCCTTGGATTTCCTGTGCGCTGGCAACGGAAGCTTTCATTTTTATGGAAGTCCGTAAGATTAAGTGGGCTGTGTCTCTTCCATATTGGCAAGACTTATGAGATTCTCCATTTGGTTCTTCCCACTCATTTGACGGACTAATCCTACTCTTGTTACATTGATTTCACTCATAGATGATTTCCAGGAGTCATTTCACCTTGACTGTGGAAGCACTGTTCGTGAGCTTCTTAGACGCATGCCTGTGTGCACTTCTAGACAGCAAGGGGCCCAGGAGATAGCTCAGTGGCATAAGCACCTGCCTGGCAGGCGCAATGCCCAGAGTTCAATCCCTGGTACTGCAAAAAAAAAAAAAAAAAAGGAACACAATTTTCCTACCAGTTCTATAAGCAACTAGGTAACAAGATCTGTGCATATTAGTCCCATTTGTCATACATTGCCTTTGAAATTGTACTTATAAACATATGCATTATAGCAAATTCTTTTTAATGCATTAATACACATTTTTATGCTTTTGCTCTTCAAAATCTTTTTTTTCTATTTGCTTTTGCTTCTGTTTTTGCTCTTCAAAAATAAAATTAAAATAAATGAAAAAAATTTTAAATGCATTTTTTTAGTACATAATGCTTACATCCCTTCTGGGGAATTGGTACACGTACATAAGATATCTTAATTTCTCTTTTATTCCTTTCTCTCCCCTCTCTTCCTGCACTATGACCTCTTGACCCCCTTCCTCTTTTTTATTTTCTTTTTGGTACATGTTTGCAGTACACATTTGCCCTCCTTGTATGGGATTGGTATATACCATGTCTTAATTCCTTTTATTTTCCCCCATTTCCCTTCCCTCCATCTTGATTCCCTCAAATTATTAACACTGTCACCTGCCTTCTGCATGTGGTTTGAAAAGCTATAAGCTCATTATCCAAGATTTTTATACTCTGTGCTGCTTTCCTACTGAGGTCTGAGAAGATCTGCTTACTTTCAGAAAGAAGGAAAAGTTGTATTAAAAATTGATCTAGTTATTTAAAAAAAAAAAAAGTATGAGTCCAGTCTCTGTGTACTTCAGTCACTGTCTGTGTGTGGATTTGTTCCCCACGCTGAGATTTATACTCCAGTCCTTTTCATTGACCTATATTTTTTCATCTACATTTGAATTCTCTTCCTTCTTAGAGGAAGAAAAAGTCTACTAGCTTATATGACTTCTTTTTTTTTAAAACTCTACTTTTTGAGCATTTTAAAAGTGGAGAAGAGAGACAGTAGCCCTCTGTCTTGTCTAGTGTGGTGGCTGGGATGGTGGATTTATTTGAAGGTGGGAATTTAGCTGCTGTCCCTGGGAGTGGAAGATGCCCCAAGAGGATCATGGTCAGGGCTGACACAGAGGTCAGGAGCCTTGGAGGAGAGCTCACCATGTGCTACCAAATGAACCTATCAAATGGCTTATATTTAATCCCTGAAAACATTTTTCTAAAAAAAAAAAAAGAACTATTGAGAATGCAATGTCTTTCTTCTTGACCTTTATATTGAATAAATATCAAGGAATGATGAAACAAAATGCCTTTGTAAATCACTGAAACTAATTGGAAGAATCTGACATTTTATGGAAGAGGAAGTTCTGTAGCTGCCCTTCTTTTCAGACTTATGTTAATAAATAGCTTTGTGAATAAGGAGCCTTTCTTAGCAGTTGGCTAGCAGAAGTTGTTTCCATGTTTTTACTTTGCCTCTTGAGATCTGATACCTCAGACCTAAGGCAGTAAAATGCCCTGATAGCAGTGTGAGCTTTTTGTGTAGAGAATACGCAAATTATGTAGCCAGGGGAGCCACGTCATTATGTTCTGCTGAGGTTGCTAGAGACTTTCCTGCAGGCTAAATATAAGCCTTTTTCATGAGGCATCTACCAAAAAGAAGAAACGATAATTTTGAAATCATTATATTTACTTTACCCAAGTGTATTATTTTCTGTGAATACACATCTTGTGGATTTCAAGGAGACCACCCACTCACTGTATATTATTTCTTTAAAAGTTT